ACCGTCCACATGCGTCCCCCCCACTCAGTACAGCGTTTCGTGGCCCCATACGGGAGCTCCACCGAGGCCCCAGTGCCACCGTCCACATGCGTCCCCCCCACTCAGTTCAGCGTTTCGTGGCCCCATAGGGAGCTCCACCGAAGGCCCCAGTGCCACCGTCCACATGCGTCCCCCCCACTCAGTAGAGCGTTTCGTGGCCCCATAGGGAGCTCCACCGAAGGCCCCAGTGCCACCGTCCTCATGCGTCCCCCCTACTCAGTCCAGCGCTTCGTGGCCCCATAGGGAGCTCCACCGAAGGCACCGTCCACATGCGTCCCCCCCACTCAGTACAGCGTTTCGTGGCCACATAGGGAGCTCCACCGAAGGCCCCCGTGGGACCGTCCGAGTGCGTCCTGAAACACCCAATTTGGCATTTTCACCCACCCACTACAGCGTTTCGTGGCCCCACAGGGAGCTCCACCGAAGGCCCCAGTGTAACCGTCCGCATGCGTCCCGCACACCCAATGTGGCATTTTCACCCACCCAGTGCAGCGTTGCTCCACCGAAGGCCCCAGTGGGACCGTCCACAAGCGTCCCGAAACACCCAACGTGGCATTTTTACCCACCCAATCCAGCGTTTCGTGGCCCCTTAGTGAGCTCCACTGAAGCCCCCAGTGGGGCCGTCCGCATGCGTCCCGGAAGCCCAATTTGGCATTTTCACTTACCCAGTACAGCGTTGCGTGGCCCCATACGAAGCTCCACGGAAGCCCCCAGTGGGACCGTCCGCATGCGTCCCGGAAACCTTACTTGACACACCACTCACCCAGAACAGCGTTCCCCCCCACCCAGTGCAGCGCTTCGTGGCCCCATAGGGAGTTTCACCGAAGAAGATTTTCATAATGGCGGTACCCACAACTGCATATGGTTGGGTCTTTCGCCATGATAATTTTCACGGTTTACTTCGGAATCGCATTATCGCTCGAGACTTCTTTTCTATTCATGCAGTTTTAACCTTTCTTTGCTCGACCTGGCCGCTTGGGCCCGCTTTCCTGACCCGCCCACTCTGGTCTACCAGCCCGATCAGCCCGTACGGTTCTGCCACGTGTTTTCTGCCAACTCTCTCCCGTTCTTCATCCTTCTCCTTCCCCCTTCCATCCGTCCTCTCTTTCCCTGGTTAGGGGCTTCACCAATTACACGTGGCAGGGATGATCTACCCCCAAGGGGTACGAGCGAAGACGAAGAGTACGGGTAGCGAGAGTCTGGGATATACGTGTTGAATGGCACCCGAGCAGGTACGAGCAAACTGTACAGTAGGTCATGGTTGTTGTTGCCGTCGTCGTCGTCGTTGTCGCCGTCGTCGTCGTCGTTGTATTTGTCGTGGTCGCTGTTGTTGTCGTTGTCGTTGTCGTTGTTGTTGTTGCCCTTGTTGTAGTTGTTGTTGATCATGTTGTCGTCCTCGTCGTGGTCGTCGTCGTCATCGTCGTCGTCTTTGTTGTTGAATGTTAATGACTGAACAATTCTTATTGTTGGACCCCCCAGGCGCTTTCACGATCTCGCCTCGGCGCCGGATATACATATATATATATATACATGTATATATACATGGGTATATATATGTATTTCTGTATGTATGTATGTATGTAGGTATGCATGTATGTATGCCTGTCTGTCTGTATGTATGTATGTATGTATGTATGCACGTACGTACGCACGTATGTATGTATGTACGTACGTACGTACGTATGTATGTATGTATGTATGTATGGATGGATGTATGTATGTATGTATGTATGTATGTATGTATGTATGTATGTATATGTTTATGTTTGTGTAATGTATATATATATATATATATATCTATAGGTAGATGTGTAATTACATATATGTAAAGAAGCGCCCTGCTTCGAAAAGGGCCCAGTAGGTCCCGTACAATGCTCCCGCTCGAGACTTCCTCTTTCTTTGCTCAGGGCCGGTGCTTTTGCTCGCCGCCGAAAGCTGCCGTTCCAACAACACCAGTTACCGCTCGAGATTTCCTCCCGTTTTACGTTGTCGGCGCCGCCCCCAGCAACAACAACGCTCCCGCTCGAGACTTCCTCCCTCTTTCACTCACGGCGATGCTCCTCCTCGCGGGCGAAAATCGCCGTCCCGACAAAACCAGCGCTCCCGCCCGAGACTTCCTCCCGTTTTACGCTGGATACTCTCTTTTGAATTGGCGCTGCTCCCAGCAAGAACAACGCTCCCGCTCGTGGCGTCCTCCCTTTTTCCTCAGGGCGGTGCTGTTCCTCGCCGCCGACCACCCCCGTCCCGACAAAACCACGCCTCCTGCTCGGACTTCTCCCCTTCTTACTCAAGGCGGTCTTCATTCTCGCCGCCGACAACCGCCGTTCCAACAAAATCAGCGTTCCCGCTCGAGACTTCTTTCTGTTCTACGCTGGACTAGCGCCCTACTCTCTTCAGCATTGGCGCCGCTCCCAGCAACAACAGCGGCCCTGCTCGAGACTTCCTCCCTTTCTATTAAGGGCCAGGTCCTTGCCTCGCCGCCGACAGCCCCCATCCCCACCAAAGCAGACCTGTCGCTCGATACTTCCTTGTGCTTTACCCTTGGCTGGGGCTCCACTGGCGGTCTCGCATCGGCGCAGCAAGGCGCGGCCATGCGTTTTCGAGGCGGGATATGTTCAAGTTCTTCGGAGGAGGTGTTTGCAAGACCTCATTGGGCGGGAGATCTGGGAGTGGGAATAAAGGCCCCCGCTATAGAACAATAGTCCCCCGTGGTGGGGATGGTCATCATGATGATCGCATGCTTCGTGTGGAAACACGACGCATGAGGGTACATAGATTGTTGTTGTTGTTGTTGTTGTGGTTGTTGTTGCTGTTGCTGTTGCTGTTGCTGTTGATGTTGTTGTTGTTGTTGCTGCTGCTGTTGTTGCTGTTGTTGCTGTGTTTGCTTTTGTTGTTGACGTCGTCGTCGTCGTCGTCGTCGTCGTTGTTGTTTGTCGTTCCCCCCCACCGGTGCATGCTGGTTTTTCTCAATCAAAGTGTGCCCCTCGACGCTCGCACCTTGTTTTTTAATCAGGGAAAGTCTTGATGCTCGAACTGGGCCCTTGGCCCCCGGGTTACAACAACAACGGCTCCCGCCTGAGACTTCCTCACAATTTTGCCAGGACCCCCGCTCCCGCCCGAGATTTCCTCGCATTTTATTCAGGAATCGCGCTCTCGTCTGGGACTTCTTGACCATTTATATAGGGATCGCTCTCCCTGCGCTCTGGCGTCGCGCTCTCGCTGGAGACTTGCTTGCAATTTACTGACGAATTGCGCCCTTGCGTTTGAATTTCCTGCAATTTGCTCGGGCGCCGCGCTCCCGACACCCAGGCGCCCAGGAGTCGCGCTCACGCTGCGGACTCCCGCACAGATCACCTGGGAATCGGGATCTCGCTGCCCTTCGTGGCCCCGTTGCAGCCCTTCGTGGCCCTCTCGCTTTCCTGTTTTCTTTTTACTTCGTTTCATTTCTGTTTTTTCGTGGCCCCGTTGCAGCCCTTCGTGGCCCCCTCGCTGCCCTTCGTGGCCCCGTTGCAGCCCCTCGTGGCCTGCTCGCTGCCCTTCGTGGCCCCGTTGCATCCCTTCGTGGCCACCTCGCTTTGTTTCGTGGCCCCGTTACAGCTCTTCGTGGCCCCCCCGCTGCCCTTTCGCGGCCCCGTCGCAGCCTTCGTGGCCCCGTTGCAGCCTTTCGTGGCCCCCTCGCTGCCCTTCGTGGCCCCATATATGTATGCCCTTCGTGGCCCCCGCTCGTTCGCACCCGTGGTGGCCCCATATGCATGCGCTTCGTGGCTCCGCAAACGCCTTTCGTGCCCCCCTCGCTGCCCTTCGTGACCCCGTTGCTCCCCTCAGTGGCCCCGTCCTTGCCCTCCGCGGCCCAGTATACGTATGCCCTTCGTGGCCCCCGCTCGTTCGCGCCCGTTGTGGCCCCATGTGCATGCCCTTCGTGGCCCCGCTGTCGCCGTTTGTGGCCCCCTCACTGTCCTACGTGGCCCCGTTGCTGCCCTCAGTGGCCCCATCGTTGCCTTCTGTGGCCCCGCATTATCTGCCCTTCGTGGCCCCCGCTCGTTCGCGCTCTTCGTGGCCCCATACTCATTCCCTTCGTGTCCCCGCTGTCGCCCTTTGTGGCCTACTTCGTGTTCTTCGTGGCCCTGCTGTCGTTCTCTCTCGCTTTCGCTTTCGCTCGTCGTCGTCGCCATCGTCGTCGTAGTCGTCGCCGTCGTCGTCGACGTCGTCGTCGTCGTCATGGTCGGTCCCCTGTCCGTCCCTCTTCGGGTCGGGTTGACGGTCTTGCCGGGGCCCGACCTGCAAGGAAGCAAGGTATACCCCCCAAAAGGGGTTCGATCGAAGACGAAGCGGGCGGGTATCGAGGGTTTGGGAAATACGCGTTACTGGTCACTCGAGCAGATAATGGCGAACAGTATTAAACTTATTGGTGTTGTTGCTGTTGCTGTTGTTGGTCAGGTTGTCGTTGTTGCTTGTGTTGTTGTTGTTGTTGTTGTTGTTGTTGTTGGTGGTGGTGGTGGTGGTGGTGGTGGTGTTCTTGTTGGTGTTTGTGTTTTAGTTGATTGTGGTTATGATGGTGAAGGAGATGGTGAAGATGAGGAGGCTATGGAGGAGGATGAGGGAGAGGAGGAGGAGGAGGCCGAGGATGTCGATGATGACGATTCTGACGACGATGATGATAGTGATGGTGATGTTGATACTGACGATTGCGAGCATGACGAAGGTAGTGGCGATGATTATGCTGCAGGTGATGATGATGGCGATGCCGATTGTGATTGCGACGGCGATGGTGGCGCTGCGGCTGTTTTTGCTGATGGTGCCGGACCGCGCCCGTGGAGCCATTGGTACCTATATGTCAGATCGCAAGATGCCTGCTGGCGGTCTCGAGGGTCGTGTTGGGGCGGATGGCTCGAGCTCCAACTGTCGGTTCGTGGGCCCCCCCCTGGGCCCGTCTTGGGGCCTTCTTGAGCCGCCTGCGGGGCGTTGTGGGCCGACTTGCGGCCCTCCTGGGCCGTCTGGGGGGGCCGCGTGGGTTCCGGGGGCGGGTGGCGGTGGGGGGCGTGGGTTCGGGTGTGGCGGGGGGGGGCGGCGGGGGGGGGATGAGCGGGAGGGGATGCGGGGACGGGGGGGGGCGGCGAGGAGGGGGGGGCGGGGAGTGGGGATGTGGGCGCCGAGGGGCGGGTGGGCGCCGAGGGGGTGGGGGTGTAGGCCGTGGCGGTGGCGGGCGGTCGGTCTGTTTTTTTTTTACTCTATTTGCATCTTTTTTTTTTTTTTTTTTGTTTTAGTTCTCATTTGTACTGTTTGTTTTGTCTTGGTGCCGTTTGTTCTGTTTTTGGGTGCGATCTTTGGAGCCTTTTCCTTTTTTATTTTTTTTTTGTTCTTTTTTTTTTTTCTTTTTTCTTTTTCTTTATATTTTTCTTCTTCTTTCTTTTTTCTTTTTTTTTGTTTTTTTTTTTTTTTTTTTTCTTTTTTTTTTCTTTTCTTTTTTTTTCTTTTTCTTTCTTGAGCTGTCTTGGAGCGTCTGTGACCCGACAGGGCGGGAGCGCTGATATCTTCTCGAATCACACCCACAGACAATCCGCGATTCTGACCGCTCTCCTCGGGCATCTTGGAGACCTGTTGGGCCATCTCGGGGACATCTTGGGCATCTCGGAGCGCTCTCCTTGGCCGACGCGGGGCCCTGTGAGACCGTCCTGGAGGCCTCCTGGAGCCCTCTCGGCCCCCCCCCGGGGCCTCCTGGCATCCGAAGGTGTCCTGCGAGAACCTGGCGTGCAGCCCCGAGAGAGCCGGGACGCGCCCCGGGCATCTTGTCAGATTTTCTCTCGGCCCATCCTCCTCCTCCTCCTCCTCCTCCTCCTCCTCCTCCTCCTCCTCCTCCTCCTTCCTCCTGTCCCGCCTTCCTCCTCCACCTCCTCCTCCTCCTCCTCGCGCCCCGGGCGCTGACAGCTTGGGACCACGCAGGGAGACCGGGGCCTGACATCGGCGCTGGGCCTCCATGCTAGCGCCTCTAGGCGCCGCCCCCTGGCTCGCTCGGTGCGCGACGGGGAGGGGGTGGGGCCAGCGCCAGTGCAAGAACTCGCGCGGACCTCCGAAAGTTTATGTCGAAGACGAAAACACGCCATGAACGTTTACTATCGATGCTCCGCGCGGATTTCTTGGATCGGCGCTGGGCTCCCCCAGGCAGCGCCTCTGGCGCCGCCCCTGGCGCGCTCCGCGCGCCAGGGAGAAATCCGCGCGGAGCGCCAGAAGTTTACGTTTATGTCGTTGTTTTTCGACTAATGCGAGAACTTGCGCGGACCTCCGAAAGTCTATGTCTCTACAGTGCTTTGCCCTTCACCTGAGCTGGTGGGGTGTCGGGGCCGCCTTGGGGGTCTCGGGTCTACGGTCCAGGGAGTCTGGGAGCCGGCCGGGGCGGCTCTGGGCTCTGTTGTGGCCGCCGTTGGGCCAGTCTCTGGCCATCTCGGTCGTGCCTCCGGCGTCCCTGGAGAGGCCCCCAATGAGGAGGAGGACGAGGAGGAGAAGGAGGAGGAGGAGGAGGAGGAGGAGGAGGAGGAGGAGGAGGCGATCGAGGATCGAGGAGGAGGAAGAGGAGGGAGCATCGAGGGTCGAGGGTCGAGGAGCGAGGAGTCCTGGAGGTCACTTTTTGGATGGGAGCCCCGGCCGTCATTGGGACGTCCTGGGTGGCGCGGGCTCTGGCCAGGGCGGCCGGAGCGCCGTCCTGGTGCCGTGTGCAGGCCAGCTTGATACTCGGGGGTGGACAGAACCCCCAACAGTGACACGTCGATTAGTGAATTGTCCGTTTTCGGTTCTCGAGAGGGCGCCGTGGCCCTTATTTTCCAGGCTTGCGCCCGCCAAATTTGGGCCTCAGGTCGTTTTCACTAAACCACGTTTTACTAAAGGGGGGTCTGTCCATCCCCGAGATACCTTTGATTGAGAGAGCGCATGCTCGTCCCCCGCTTCCCTTGGGCCTCCCGGGGCCCTCCTGCCAAGGGCGCGGATGCTCTTGGGCGCAACGTGCGTGTACACAAGGGTCGCTGCGCCTGGGTCAGGATCCCTGAACCCGGTCTACTTTATTCGCCTTCCTACATCATGTTGTTTCTACCTGCTTCCGACTGAGCATTTATGGTGGTCGCTTTCGTTCTGGGCCCCAGGCCTTGCTTCGCGAGAGTCACTCGGTGAGGGGGGGTGAGGGGGAAGAGGAGGAAGAGCAGGAGGACTAGGACGACGACGACGAGGCACGGGAGGGGGAAGACGAGGCAGATGATGATGTGGCCGCTGCTGATGATGAGCGGCAGGATGCGCAGAAGGAGCAGCAGGAACGTGATTCATAGCGACGAACAGCAGTCCATAAGCGCAGAGATCTCCCTCTCCCCCGCAGGCCCGCGGGGAGTCCGTGAGGAAGATCAAGCAGACCGTGCGGCTCAACATGGCCCCGGGGCGTACCTACAACCGGGGGACCAGGAGGAGGATGGAGGATGATAACCCAACGCGGTTCCGAGGAGGAGGGGGAGCAGGAGGTGGAGGAGGTGGAGGAGGGGGAGGGGTAGGAGGAGGAGGAGGAGGAGGAGGAAGGAGGAGGGATGAGGAGGGGAGGAGGATCGAGGAGGAGGAGGAGGAGGAGGAGGAGGAGGAGGAGGAGGAGGAGGAGGAGGAGCGGGGGTGGGAAAAGGAGGAGGAGGAGGAGCAGGAGGAGAAGCAGGAGGAGGAGGAGGAGGAGCCTTGTGACCGGCCGACTGGTCTGCGCGAGCGACAGGCCCGCGACAAACAAATGCTAACACTCTACAGTCGAAGTCGTTCTCAAGGATGGGCAACCTTCCCAAGGGTATCCTTGCATCCTTGCATCTCTGTTCCATCCTTTGCCCCTTTCGATGGGCAGTCCCGCTCGAACAACTTCCCCATGCGTGTCCAAGGGGCTTGCATCCTAATTGCGCATCCTCACTCTCAGTTCTGACTGACTGTGCACTGTTCGGGCGCTGCAGGAAGCGGCAAGACAACAGGTTGCGGCGGGCTTTGGCGCTCTGCTTCTGGCCGCGGGGCCCCCGCGGACCGGCCTAGCCGGACCCCTGGCCAGGCAGGGCGCCGTGTTCCCGATGGTCTCGCGCGAAGTGCGCGGGGCACTGCGGGAGGTCCCTGCTGGGGAAGAAACCCTGGAGCGGGGGGGGGGAAGCTTTGGGGTGCTGGTCTACTTTGTCCTCGCCGTGCTCAGAGGGCGGCTTCGTGCGGACTTGGTCGCCGCGCCAGGAAGAATGGGGGGGCCAGAAGAATGGGGGGGGGAGGCGGGAACCTGCCAGGTGGAGGGGGAGGTGAGTGTGTAGGAGGAGGAGAAATCGGAGGTGGAGGAGGAGGAGGAGGAGTGAGGAGGAGGAGGAGGAGGGAGGAGGAGGAGGAGGAGGAGGAGGAGGAGGAGGAGAGGGAGGAGGCGGAGGAGGAGGGAAGAGGAGGAGGAGAAGGAGGAGGAGAAGGAGGAGGAGAGGAGGAGAAGGACGATCGTAGAGGAGGAAAAGGATGTGGGAGAGGAGGGAGAAGGAGAATACGAAGAGGAAAGATGAGGAGGAGAAGGAGGAGAAAGGAGGAGGCTCCTCCTCCTCCTCCTCCTCCTCCTGCTGCTCCTCCTCCTCCTCTCCTCCTCCTCTCCTCTACATCTCCTGCTCCCCTCGAGCACCCCATCCTCCCATTCCTGCTTCCCCCCCTTTCTGCCACGCTGCCTGGAGTTAAGGCCGCTCTGCCTTTTCAGGGCTTTCTGCGGATGCTGGGTCGAATCGCAGCCTCGCGGTCTGCGCATGGACTGCCATGGTGGCACGGTTCCCCCCCCGGGCCGTAGGCGACCCGAGGAGGTGGAGGAGGAGGAGGAGGAGGAGGAGGAGGGGAGGAGGAGGAGGAGGAGGAGGAGAGGAGCAGGAGGAGGAGGAAGGAGGGAGGAAGAGGAGGAAGAGGTAGGAGGGGAGGAGGAGGAGGAGGAGGAGGGAGGAGGAGGGGGAGGGGGAGTGGTGGAGGAGGAGGAGGAGGAGGAGGAGGTAGGAGGAGGAGGAGGGGAGGAGGAGGAGCAGGAGGAGGAGGAGGAGGAGGAGGAGGAGAGGAGGGGGAGGAGGATGGGAGGAGGGAGGGGAGGAGGAGGCGGAGGAGGAGGAGGAGGAGGAAACGGAGGGGGAGGAGGAGGAGGAAAAGGAGGAGGAGGAGGAGGAGGAGGAGGAGGAGGAGGACGGGTCGCCTAAGCCCGTCGGAGAAGCCCTTCAGGTGACCCTCGCGGCATGTCATTGTGAAGCGATGTGGAGGCTTCGACAAGAAACATCCAGCAAGACACAGCGCCTTGACCCAGGGGGAATTGTCGATACTGTGATCGGCTGATGACTGATAACTTCCCCCTACCTGCACCCCAACAAGAACACCCGTCTTCTCTCTTTGCCTTTCCCCGCCCCCCTTCCAGTTTGATTTTCCTCCCCTCTTTCCCCCCCCCTCCTCATTCTGCTCTCCTCTTCCCCTCCCCCCTTCCTCTCACCTTGTCTCGACTGGTGCTCTTCCTCCACTTGTTCTCCCCTCTCCCCTCCTCACCTTCCCCAGTCCCATGCCCTCCACTTGGTCCCGCTGTGCCCAGGCGCATGCTACCTCAAGACTCGAGGACTTGCGGCGCATCGGTTTGTTGAGCGCGCGCGCGCGCGCCCGCGAACACGCGATGCGCGTGAGGGTATCTGATCTTGTTCCCTTTCCTCCTCCTTCTCCCTCCTTTCCCTTCTCGACCTGCTCTCTCTTCCCTCGTGGCCTCCCCCTCTCCCATCCCGCTGCCCTCCTGCCTACTGATTTGTCTTCCTCTTCCCTCGTCAATGTCGTCGTCGCTGTCGTCGTCGTCGTCCTTCCTATCTTCTTCCTGTTGTTCATACGTGTACCCACGCATCCTGAAGTGTTGGGTCCTCGTTTTGAAGAGACAGCGCCTCGCGTCTCCCTCACTCCTCCTCTTCCTCCTCCTTCTCCTATTCCTCCTTCTCCTCCTCCTCCTTCTCCTCCTCCTCCTCCTCCCTCATCATTATCATCAGCATCATCAACAGCAGCATCATCAACATCAACATCATCACCATCAACACATTCCTCTTTATATTCCTGATCATGATCCTCCTCCTCATCATTATCATCATTCCTCTTCCTCCTCCTCATCATCATTATCATCATCAGCCTCATCATCACCATCATCATCAGCGTGGTCAACATCACCATCACCATCACCATCACAATCACCGTCACCATGACCATGACCATGACCATGACCATCATCATGACTACTACCACCACCACAATCATCAGCATTATCATTTGCACCGTCATCCGCATATTCGTTCTCACCCTGCTCTTCCTCCTCATCCTCATCATCAGCAGCAGCATCAGCATGATCAGCATCACCACCATTCCCATCACCATCATCACCATATCCATCACGATCACCATCATCGTCACTACCATCATCATAATCATCCTCATCATCAGCAGCATTACCATCGCCAACATCAACATCGTCATCATCGTCGTCGTCGTCGCCGTCGTCATCATCATCATCATCATCGCTGTCGCCATGGTAACCATTATGCTTGTCGTCGCCATCTTCATGTTCAACACCGCAATTATCATCATCAAAAACACCATGGTCACCATCATCATCAGCATCATCGTCAACATCAGCATCATCATCATCCTCATCACCAACATTACCATCACCATCACCAGCACCACCATCACCATTGTCATCATCATCATCATCATCTTCATCATCATCATCGTCGTCATCATCATCATCGCCAACATCATCACCATCATCATGACGATGATGATGATGATCATCATCAGCATCATCATGATCATGATCACTTTCATCATCACCATCATCACCACCAATTCCGGCACACCCCTCACACGCTCCGTCGCCCCATAAGCAGCTCCACCCAAGGCCTCAGTGGCACCGTCCACACGCGCTCGCGCCACTGCTTTCGGCACACCCCTCACACGCTTCGTGGCTCCATGGGAGCTCCACCCAAGGCCCCACGGGCACCGCCGACACGCGTCCGCGCCACTGATTTCGGCACACCCCTCGCACGTTTCGTGGCCCAATGGGGAGTTCCACCCAAGACTCCACGTGCACCGTCCGCATTCGTCCGCGCCACCAATTTCGGCGCACCCGTCGCACGCTTTGTGGCCCCAGAGGGAGCTCCACCCAAGGCCCCAGTTGCACCGTCCACATACGACCAGAAAGCCATTTCTGTAACCTGAAGGTCCCAGCGGCACCGTCCACATGCGTCCGCGCCATCCCTTTCGGCACACCCCCTCACGGGTTTAGTGGCCCCATTGGGAGCTCCACCAGATGCCCGAATCACACCGTCCACGTGCGCCCGCGCCACCCATTTCGGAACATCCCTCACGCGCTTCTTGGCCCTGTAGGGAGCTCCACCCAAGTCCCCAGAGGCAACATTCGCATGCGTCCGCGCCATTCTTTTCGGCACATCCCTCGCACGTTTCGTGGCCCCACAGGGAGCTCCACCCAAGGCCCCAGCGGCACAGTTCGCATGCGCCCGCGACATCCATTTCGGCACATCCCTCACGCGTTTCGTGGCCCCATTGGGAGCTCAACCCAAGGTCCTAGCGGCACCGTTCGCATGCGTCCGCGCCACTGATTTCGGCACACCCCTCACACGTTTCGTGGCCCCATAGGGAGCTCCACCCAAGGCCCCAGTGGCACCGTCCACATGCGTCCCCCCAATCAATGTCGGCACACCCCTCACACGCTTCGTGGCCCCATACGGAGCTCCACCGAAGATGATCCTGACAGCTGCGGTATTCACAACTGCAAATGGTGCGGCCCTTCGCCAGGCTAATGGGTTGATGCTTCTTATTTTTCCTCTTTCCAGTTCGTGTGCTGCATCCTGCCTCCTCGGTCCCCCTTCTCCGTGCCCCCCCGCCCACCTCCTTCGTCTCCCTCCCCCGTCCACCCTCCATCGCTCCCCCGTGCCCCGTCCGCCCTCCCTCCCCCCCACCCCTCTTTCCCTCCTTCCCTTCCTCCCTGTCTCCCCCCTCCCTCCCTCTTCGCTGCTCCCTGCTCCCGTCAGTGCTCCGTCGTCGCCGTCGCCAGCGTCGGCGCGGTCGCCGCGCTCGTCGTCGGCGGCTCCGCCGCCGCCGGCGCTGCCGCCTCCGCTGCCGCCGCGGCTCGTCGTCGTCGTCGCCGCCGCCGAGCCTGCCCGCGAGGAGCACCAGAAGTGCGTGGACGCGTGCACCGCGGCGCTGGAGCTCGGGCCCGGCTGCGCCAAGGCGCACTTCCGGCGGGGGCAGGCGCGCGCCGCCCTGCGCGACCTGGGCGGGGCGCGGGCGGACCTGGAGCCGAGGCCCCCAGAAAAAGCACAGCAGAAAGCACAGCAGAAGAAGAACAGACCCTTTTTTGTATAATAGCGCTTACCTCCCTCGCGGCGCCTCCCCCCGAGGAGCGGGCCCGCGAGCTGGCGCCCGACGACGCCGCCGTCTCCGCGGAGCTGCGCCGGCTCCGCGCGCAGGCCTCGCGGGGCGACGCCGAGGAGCGGCGGAGCTGCGCCAGGATGCTCGGGGAGGCGGCCGCGCCCGCGCCCGCCGCCGCCGAGGCGGCCGCGGCCGAGGCGGCCGCGGCCGAGGCCGCGCCCGCGGGCGGCGCGAGCGCGGCGCGGCCGCGCCCGCCGCCGCCGAGGCGGGCCGCGTCTGCCGCGCCTGCCGCCGCGCCGAGGCGGCCTCGGCGCGGCCCGGCGGCGGCGGTGCCGAGGGCTCCGCGGCCGCCGCCGCGGCGGCCGCGGCCGCGGGCGGCGGCCGGCGGCGGCGGCGCGGAGGACGCGGGCGGCCGCGGCGCCGAGGCGGCCTGCGCCCCCCCGCTCGCCGCTGCGCGCGCTGTGCCGGGGTGGGTGGGCGGTCGCGGGCGAAGCAGGTGCAGTGGAGGCCCGTGCCTTATCCCAGACATATGATCGCGTCGCAAAAAAAATCAGGACGGGAGGTTGTTCGTTATTTTCGACTCCTAGGGGGCCTCGCCGGGCCTCGGGGCCGTCAAACAACGACTCAGGATGAAAAACCGGCCCTGGGGAAAGGGTCGGGACTTCCAGGGACGCCGTCCTGAAAAAGAAGGACGGCGCATGTCTGGGATGATGTTCCAACCTACTTTCGCCTGGATCACCAGAAAAAACTTCGAGCACCAGGAAAGTTCCGAAACTGGAGGGTTTTCACGCGTCGGGCCCTGGGATACACTCGTTCGGCACTGTTTCGACACTCTTTCGACACTGTTCCGGATGCTCGAAGATATTTCTGGCATGTGGTCCCTAAGTGCGATGGGAACTACGTAACCCATGCCAAGAAACACCCTGCTGGCCTCCAGGGTGCCCTGGGTTTCTCGGGTTTCGCTGGTTTTGCTTCTGGGCCTCCCAGATGGGGTCGGAGCAGATGGGGCCAGAGGGTCGCGTCGCATCGCCGATGCATCGGCGATGCGGCTTGATATGGCGCCCGATCTTCTCCGCGCCTGCGTCGCCGATGCATCGCCGACGTCGCCGATGCATCGCCGATGCATCACCGATGCATCGCCGATGCATCGGCGATGCGGTGCAATTCTTCGACCCCATCTACTCCGACCCCATCTAGGAGGACTCTAGTGGAGTCCTATGCCAAGAATCACCCTCCTGGCCTCCAGGGTGCCCTGGGTTTCTTGGGTTTCGATGGTTCTGTTGCGGGAAGCGTGGCGTGCCCACACCGAACATCGATGGACGTCCTGGGGTCTCTCAGGCCTGGAGTCTCTCAGGGTTGGGTTTCTTGTGGAAAACTTCTTGTGGAAGGTTTCTTGCTTTCTTACACGTGTTCGTTTTTTTATTCATTGTTTTGCCGATCGGCGCGGGCCCTCGCACTCCCCCCCCTCACCCCCCCTCCCCCCCCTTCCCCCCCCCCCCCCCCCCCCCCCACACCTGCAGTAGATCTGGGCTGTTTTTGGCGCCTGTTTCGAGCAGGTGGAGCCCCTCCCCCATAGGACGCACTGCTGCAACCAGTCGCACTAAGCAGAGGTCCGGAGCCAGACCCCCCCTCTCCCGCCTTCCGCCCAATGTCGAAACGCCGAATAAATAACGCTCATCATCGTGATTATGTTCCAAGAACATTTCTGTTTTCGTGATTGGAACATGCTTACCCTAGAAACAGCCGTGGTAGGCCTGCAGGAAAATGCCGGGGCGGTCGGGCCCGGCTCAAGCTTGGCGCCGCCCACGAGAAGGGTCTACCTTGATCCGGCTCGATATCCGCTCCCGCTGGAGGGTTTCTGCGAAGGGCTTAGGCGACCCGTCTTCCTCCTCCTCCTCCTCCTCCTCCTCCTCCTCCACCTCCTTTTCCTCCCTCCTCCTCCTCCTCCTCCTCCTCCTCTTCCTCCTCCTCCTCCTCCTCCTCATCCCTCCTCCTTCTCCTCCTCCTCCTCCTCCTCCTCCTCCACCTCCATCTCCTCCTCCTCCTCCTCCTCCTCCTCCTCCTCCTCCTCCTCCCGTAGCCATTTTGGCTCAAGGCTATGCTTTGGCGGGCGGAGCCCGCATTGGCAAAACTGGATACCGCTAGTCCGCGGCAGCTTTCATCCTTTACGGAGGTCCCTCGTTCCCCAGTGCGCGACCAGCGGCTCCTATCGGAGTGCGTATCTGGGGCGAGGGGTTGACTAGCCTCCTCACTGTCGAGCCCATGGTCCAGGCAAATGGGTTCGTCAAATGCGTGTCATGTGGATACAAGTGGACGTGGAAAGGCCGCAAGGAGTGCTTCAATTGCGGCAAGCAGATGGAGCTTGGAGGGCCGCCACCGCCGTGGCGGACAGGACCATCAGCATCGGAACCATCACGGGGAGTCTGGGACAACCGCAACCAGGAAGCACCTCGTGGAGAGCAGCGTGATGGCGGCTGGAAGGAGTGGAGCGAATGGCCCAAGTCGCGCCGTCAACGCAAGAAAGGTGGTGCGCAGGGTGACGAGCACAAGCAGGAGGTCCAGACGCCTGAGCAGCTACTCAAGGCTCTGCAGGAGGCGGCATCGCACCTCGACCCGTCAGCAATCGAGGGGCTCAAGCAGCAGTTGCCACCGCCTGTGGTGCAAAGGGACCCCAACCAGGAGTACCAGCATCAGTGTGCGCAGGAACGCAAAGCCAAGCAGGCCCTGGACAAGGCGTTGGAGTCTGAGGCCAAGGCGCACGACTGGTACTTGGAGCGCAAGGAGGCAGCCTTGCATGCGGCCCAGGAGGCTGTCCGTGCGCAGGAGCGGGCGGCGGAGGCGCTTCGGGCCTTGCAGCGCGCGCGCGGGCAGGTGCGCCCAGCTGAGGTTCCCAGCGAGGTGTCCAAGCCAGCAGCCACGCTCAACCTCACGGCCATCCTCGAGAGCGACGAGGTCCACTTCGTGGCGGGGCCCGCGTTCTCCCTGGATGGGCTCGAGGTGGACGAGGGCGAGAAAGAGGCGTTCCTGGCGTTGCAGACGCGATTCGCGTCGGAGCTCAAACAAAAGATTGGCGAGCTCTTCGGAGAGACGGCCAGCAACCTCGGCCAATGCAGGAAGGAGGCCGACGAAATGCGGCAGCGGCTCAAGGCCAAGCGGCAGCGGCGCGAGGAGGCTCCCCCAGCCAACGAGCAGCCAGGAGAGCCCCCCGCTGATGCTCAGGTGCATGCCGCTGCTCCCGCGGCAGAGGCAGGCAGTGCCGCTTCATCGGCGAGCGATGCGACTGCTCGGACCGCTGAGAGCATTCCTGTGCCTGGCGAGCATGCTGCTAGTGCCGCAGGAGAGGGATCGTAGTTTGAGGACAAGGTCCAGCGGTTGTTGGCAGCAGCCAAATGCGATAAGCAGGGGCTTTGACGAGCATTGCTGGGCTGGCTCACGGGTATCGATTTCCAGGCCATCGGGCTCAGCACTCACTGCGGGGGCAGAGCGAGCGGCCACGGGCCCCGCACTCACCCCTGCGGCAGAGCGAGCCGCATCATCGGGCTTCGCACTCGCCCAAGAGGCAGAGCGAGCGGCTTCGGGCCCTGCACTCACCTCCAGGGCAGAGCAAGCCGCAAGGACCTGCAGGGCGGCGTCTGCCAGCAGCGGGGCCCACCATCGGAAGCAGGAGGCCGCGGACGCGCGGGTGGCCGCGACCCTCCTTCCCGATGAGCGCGTCTCCCAGGCCGCCGACGGGTGGGGCCTGCAGGGAGACAGCGAAGGCCCCGCTGCGCATGACGTCCGTGTACAAGGTCGCCGCTCGCCCAAGGATTGGGACCGACCAGTGCAGCAGAGTGCAGCAGGCCAGCTCAAGCAGAGAGCTGGCCAGTGGACCACGTGCCTGGACGCCAGTGAGCATGGCGACGGTGCCGAGAAGTGGGGCGCTGGTACCCCTTCGACGGCCCTCCCTACATCGACGTGGGCGGGGTCGCCGACAGCGACGCCCTCATCCCCGCCAACGATTGATGCAGCTTCGAAAAACGCACAGTTAGGACGCCCCTCGAGTTCGAAGGGGCATAGGCTGGAAGAGTCGCAGACTCGGCATGCAAGCAGCAACGTGGCCCACCATCGGAAGCAGGAGGCCGCGGACGCGCGGGTGGCCGAGACCCTCCTTCCCGATGAGCGCATCTCCAGGGCCGCCGACGGGCGGGGCCCTCAGGGAGACTGCGAAGGCCCAGTTGCAGAGGAGCAGGATCCTTTTGATGATTTGGACGAGCACCCCGACAGTTTACGGGCAGGGGGCGTTCAAGATCCCCTAGCACATGCAAGGGGGCAGGAGGCCGAGCCTGCGATGGACAATACGGCGGGGGAAGAGCAGGTGGCCTCCCTCAAGCAGCACCAGACATGGCCCAAGGTGGAGCTCAAGCGAGAGCAGGCGCCCTTGACGAAGCTGGACGTGCCCGAGCTGATGGACCGACCCTGTGGTGGTTGTCATCGCGTCTCGGCGTTGTGCGGCAACATTGCCGAGTGGGGCTCTAAGATCCACAAGTTCGTGGCGAGTCAGAGGGGGTTGAATGTGCGCATGTTCGTCGGGACTCCCCTCAACGAAGAACTCGCCTCCGAGGTGCAGACAGCGGCGAGGATGGACGGTTGGAAGATGGCCGCCACACCTGACAGGTATAGCGGACGATCTGAGACTGGCACATCAGCAGGTGAGGCCATCCTGGCACGCACCCATGTGGCGACATCTTCCTTTTAGCACCTCACCAAGTACTGCGCTAGCGGGGCAGCTAGCCCCTTTCATGGTTTATCGGCTCTTGTCTGGCATATGAAAGGCGGCAGCGTGGTGTTGATCTGCACCTACTTCGCTCCCAAGTTTGGGCTCACGAAGGGGCCTAACGCGAAGACGTTGAGGGCTCTCGTCTCTTTCGTGAGGAGCTTGGCTGACCCGGATGTGACCATAGGAGACTGGAACCATTCCCCGTCGCAGATCGCGCAGGCCCGCATTCAGGAGTTCCTGCGGGGGGTGGTGCTGACCCCTCCTTGTGCCATCACATGCGACAGAGGTCATGGCTCCATGATC